TGCCGAAGCATATCAGCCTGGAAGCCGAGGATCTTATCAAGCGCATGCTCCAAGTGAATCCTGATCGTCGAATTTCCCTCAAAGACATCTGGCGCCATCCACTTGTTCAGAAATACAGCTACCTAGATAACTACGGCGAGAACAATGGCCAGCCGCCGGACATTCGCAAGGGCTTCCAATACAGCCCTGTTCCTCGGGAGGAAATTGATTTCCAGCTGCTCCGCCAGCTGAGATCAATGTGGCACATGTTTAGTGAGGAGGATCTTGCCATGAAACTATCTTGTAAAGAGTATGCCCTATTTGCCTGTTGCCATCCCGGCTTAGAATTACACTGACTTTTCTCCGTTTAGGCCAAATGACCAAAAGGCATTCTACTGGTTGCTCTACAGATATCGCGAGAAACAGCTCGAGGATTTCAGGCCCGAACTCGCCCATTCAACCAGTGATTATCACCATCTCAAACCCGGTATTTGGAAGAAACGTGTCGCAACCTGCCACTTTGCTCAGCCGCGGGCCAATGGACATGGCCGCTCTGTGTCGAAATTCACAGTTATTTCAAACGCGGCGGAGACGGAGGCAGAAACCGTCCAGAGCTACGATCCATACCGAGGAAGCCGCATGCTTAAGCCTTGCAACTCACAGGTTAGCCAAGCTAGGATAACTGTGCACAGGGACCGCCCGGCCAGCAGCGGGCATCAGGCCCCCCATTCGACTAGGATGCGTAGTAACTCTACTACTCACCGTGTACGCAGTAACTCGAGTAGAGCCTTCGCGAATGGCCGGCCTGCATCTTCTCGAGGTTCCATGGCCTCCCTCCACAGCGCCCGGTATGCAGGGCTGGGAGCGCCTGGCACGAGTTTGCGACATAAGCGTGGCGTTGATTTCACGCAAGTGAGGAAACAGTCAACCCAAGCGCAGCCACCCGCGCAGCCCAAGGCTCAGGTGGAAGACGTTCCGAAGATCAAGGAGCCCGTGGCTAGTCAGCCTAAAGTTGGACGATCGGTATCTCCAGAGCTGCCGGTTCAAGCCAACGGCACACACCCAATGGCAATGGGTGCCCCCATTGCGGATGTCTTGTTCAATGATGAGCTCCGGCATTTTAGCAGCAATATTGCCAAGGATTGTGATGAAGCATTTGGAAGCTCTCTCATCGAAGATGAGTCCATGGCTGGGTCGATGGCAGATGGCGATCGTAAACAACGAGAATCTCCCTTCAGCTTCAGCCTTGTCAGCACTCCAGATACGATTCAAGGAACAGGGGCTTCATCAAAGCCATGGGACTTGAGACCACTACCACCTCTTCCGCCCAACAATTCAGCCCAGGGCGATAGATTAGATGGTGGCACTGATGATGCAGTCTCGCCGACAAGTGGTGGTGGGGTGCATCTAAGCAGCCCAGAGGAACAGCCCACGCACTCTGTTTTCGTCCTGCCAACACATTCAGTTGAACGACGTGTCGTTTCCGCCCCAGCTCAAACCAATATCGCCAGGAAGCCAGTTACTATGCCATCTATCAATGAGAACAAGGCTCTCAATAGCACCTCGGGTGACAAAGCTCGAATTGTCTCGGCCCCTCCACACAATCCAAGGGGAAGGAATACAGAGATACGTGACGACATGGAATACTTGAGTAAGGTGGAGAACTCGATCCGAGTTGTTAGTTCTCCATCAGAGAGCCCGGTTAAGATACCGAAGCCTCTGAATGTGAGAAAGAAAAGTACAACAGAGGTCCTGGTAACCCAAACTGAGGAAGACGCTAGCCAGGCCCAAGCAAACACATCACAGGACTCCCAAAACGGCGCGAGGAAGAGAAAACTGTGGTTCAGGAGAACATCTAGAGCTGAATCCGATAGTGGTGGGACGGTCTCCAGTAGATCTCACGATCAGACGACACATGCCGGCTCTGAGCCCGCAAACGAAGGCGATACCAATCCGAACCACATCGCTAATAATAAGAAGAAGAGTTTCACATTTCCATTTTGGAAGAGCAATAAGATGGCAGGTTCGACCATGTCAATTGACGGTAAGTTAAACATGTGTTTTGATGTTGGGATTTTTGCAGAGGACTAACAATAACCCAGAAGAATCATCTGCCTCTGCCAAGGAGGGACGATCCTCCAACGTGATCACAGTCCAACCGAGCAAGTACAAACGGGATTCGACCGCGAGCAGCCAGCGCAACATTGAGGTGAAGCAAAACTGGCTGGCTCGGCTATTCAGGGTCAAACCAGCCACACGCTACCTCTGCATGGCAATTTCTCGTCGCCGTGCCCGCCAAGAAGTTGCAATCCTGCTCCGTGAGTGGAGAAAATACGGTATTAGAGGTATCCAAGTGGACAAGCAACGTAACATCGTCTTTGCTCGTGTGGGAGCCAAAAATTGTAAGGACATGAACGATTTGGTTGGAAGCTTTTGACCACTGACAAGAAGACAGATCTGGACCTTAAAGAAGTGGAGTTTGCTGCCGAGGTGATGACGGTAATTGAGCACGGGAAGAAGCAGCAGCTGAGCATTATTCGATTCACACAAGAGCGTGGTGCTGCAAGCAGCTTCCACAAAGTTGTCGAAACTATGAAGAACGTATTCGAAAGCCGCAGTCTCTTGGTGGCCGACGAGGGGAAGCAGAAGATGATGATCAAGACATTGAACTCTTGAGAACCAGAAAATCTAATGAGCAGATCAGAAAAGAGAAGAAGAAGAAGATATGAAAAGCAACATGATATTGGGTGATGCCTAGGAGTAGTACGCCTATGGCTTGCTACGGGTTTGCTGCAACTAGGTTATTGGCTTTAGGATTTCCCTTCACAGGATGGATAGAAAAGTTGTTGGATGAAATGGGGTAAGGTGGCCTTAGAGGCCCCAGAGCTGTTTGTTGGCTGATACACAGATAGATGTATAACTTGTTGCTAGTATTCGACACGGGAAAGATTTTCTATTCGGTGGCCAGGCACGGCCAATATGGCTTCCTCTCAGGCGGGTAGAATCCCCAATGTTAGGGAGGCTATAATTGTACTCATTGCTGCATTTGATTTCGTTAGGGAGCTGGTGGTTCTTTCTGTTATCATCCCGAGCATGTATCCAGATGGGAGGGTTTCTTTATGATTGGCTGTGAGCTTACGGAGGTCTTCATGTAATTTTAGGCTACCCGGCTACGGCAATCGAGTAATTAATAAAGACAACAGCTTAAGTCATATGAAAGACTATTGAGATATCCTCGAAGAACCCTCGGACATACGAGCGCGGAAACCAAAGGAGTTAATGGGCCGGCCGGCCTGCTTTCACATGGGAGGGGATGAGAATGGCCAGCGGCATCAAAGCGCGGCGGTCGGAAAGAAACGGATACTGGAGGTGCCGGGACAAATTAGTCAGGCTGGCGATGGATCACGGCGCCTTTGAGATTTAGAGATGGTGGTGGTTGAAGAGCCTCGGCTTCTCGGTCGGGGGGATCAAGGGTTTCTAGGTTGGGGCTACCCAAGGTTAATTGGCTGGGTACTTGGATCATCGAGTGCCGTTGCCTGTGGGCGCTGGTACCTGCGCTTGGGCTAGGCTTGGGTGGCGCGCCGCGCAAAGGTGGAAGGCAAATGGAGGGATGGGCGAGCTAGATCGCTGATGCGAACGGGCTGGACTGCTGGATTGAGGTTGTGCATGAGTTAGTAGATTGTGATATTCCGGGGAGTTCGGGGGGCTTTGGCTGGCGGTTCGGTTGCAATCCGCGCCTTCGGGGCATAACCGCTCGGTAAGACGCCGTGGGAGATTGCTGGAGGAGCTGTGGTTGGTTGGTATTATGAGCTGGCTCGGGCACACAAGATATAACATGAAGAGGATAGAATAGAAGTATGTAGCCGGAATTGCCTACCTGTTCAGATCATATCAGATCATATCAGATCACTTCAAAGTAAACCATGGGCTGCTGTCTGCTGCCACGGGCGAAAGAAGGAGACGGGGACCACATGCTTCTGCTTGTGCTGCCAGGGACACGGCACTGGAGCTGCAGCTGGAGATGCGCTGGGCTTGGCCCGGATCTTCCCCGCATTTTCCAGGGCGCCCACCGCATCATTACGTAGGGCCTCACAGCGTACAGCACCACCTGGAGTTACCTACCATATGTATGGCCTTGTGCCTAGTAGAGAGGCGGCCATGCTCATAGCTGTTGTAGGAGATGAATCAGATAGCGCGAGCCGTCGCCTATGTACCTGCCTGCCTGCCACAGACTGGCAGCATCTGTCTGTATCGATCTACCATTTCCTCCGCATCCTGGATCGCATCGCATCGCGTCGCGTCGCATCCATCCATACACCCGAGACAAACCGACCGCCGGGTCTTTTACCGAGACGGAGACCAGCGGCGGGGCCACCTTCGGCCGCGGCCGATGTGAACAGCCATTGAAAACAGCCAGGTTATAGCCAGCCCTCAGATGCAGACACAGGCTAAGCCGAGCGGCAGCTGGGGATCGTCGCTTTGACGTCGCCCTCGATAAGAGCTTGCTAGTGGCTCGGGTCTGGGGAAGTTGAAGATCGGAGCCGTTGCAGTCATACAGGAGGAAGGAGGGAGGGAGGCATGTACCTGCCGCCACTCAATTCCAGTATCTACATATATCTAGCTTTCTGCCTCTCGTAGCCGTTTCTCCCTTCTTGGTCTCCCTCTTCATATTTCCCATCCGCACATCCACCAATCCATCTGTCTGGACTGAATCACCCTTGCTAGCATCGCATTCACTATCGCAATTGCTTCTAGTAAGGTTGCCTGCTGTGACCTGCTCCCCATTAGCCCCTCGCCTTGAGGCCAGCCGGCTCTGTTCTCCTCGCGACACGACAAGCACGTGAAAGTCACAGAGCTTGCTCTCAACCACCCCCCCCCTTCAACATCCTCAACTGGGATTGATCCTACCCTCCTAGCTCCCGGTTATTTTCCCTATATTACCTCGTCCGCATCTCTCCATCAGTATCAGCTTTATTTCCTCCGCGCTGCGCTTTTCTCCACATCTCATCACAACCACCACAATGGCTTCCACAGACGCAATTCTCAATGGTGTCTCCATCCTCGGCAAGGTCGACGATGCGCACCGCAAGATTCTGACACCCGAGGCCCTGGCCTTCCTGGCACTCCTGCACCGCTCTTTCAATGGCACTCGCAAGTCCCTGCTTGAGCGCCGCAAGCTGCGACAGGCCGAGCTTGACCGTGGTGTCCTGCCCGACTTCCTGCCAGAGACGAAGCACATCCGTGAGAACAGCACATGGAAGGGAGCTCCCCCCGCACCCGGTCTCGTTGACCGCAGGGTGGAAATCACCGGCCCTACTGACAGGAAGATGGTGGTCAACGCCCTCAACGCCAATGTGTACACTTATATGGCTGATTTTGAAGGTGAGAAATGATGGAAAACCCGCCATGTAGTGAGAGTTCTTGACTGACAACATCTCTCCGCAGACTCAAGCGCCCCAACTTGGGACAACATGATCAATGGCCAGGTCAACCTGTACGACGCCAACCGTCGCCAGGTCGACTTCAAGCAGGGTCCCAAGGACTACAAGCTCCGCACTGACCGCACTCTGCCTACCCTCATTGTGAGGCCTCGTGGCTGGCACCTCAACGAGAAGCACGTCACCGTTGACGGCGAGCCCATTTCCGCCTCGCTCTTCGACTTCGGCCTGTACTTCTTCCACAACGCCTTTGAGACCCAGCGCCGCGGCTTCGGCCCGTACTTCTACCTCCCCAAGATGGAGAGCCACCTCGAGGCTCGCCTGTGGAACGACGCCTTCAACCTCGCCCAGGACTACATCGGCATGCCTCGTGGCACCATCCGCGGCACCGTGCTGATCGAGACCATCCTGGCCGCCTTCGAGATGGACGAGATCATCTACGAGCTGCGCGACCACAGCTCGGGTCTCAACTGCGGCCGCTGGGACTACATCTTCAGCGTCATCAAGAAGTTCCGCCAAAACTCCAACTTCGTCCTCCCCGACCGCTCCGCCGTCACCATGACCGTCCCCTTCATGGACGCTTACGTCAAGCTGCTCATCCAGACCTGTCACAAGCGCGGCGTCCACGCCATGGGTGGCATGGCCGCCCAGATCCCCATCAAGGACGATAAGGAGGCCAACGACCGCGCTATGGATGGCGTGCGCGCTGACAAGCTCCGTGAGGTCCGCGCCGGCCACGACGGCACCTGGGTCGCCCACCCCGCCCTCGCCAGCATCGCCACCGAGATCTTCAACAAGCACATGCCCACTCCCAACCAGCTGTTCGTCCGTCGCGAGGACGTCAAGATTGGGCAGAACGACCTGCTCAACATGAACGTGCCTGGCACCGTCACCGAGGAGGGTATCAAGAAGAACCTGAACATTGGTCTGGGTTACATGGAGGCCTGGATCCGCGGTGTCGGCTGCGTCCCCATCAACTACCTCATGTAAGTTTCCCCTTAACTCGTTCACTCACCATTTGATGGGAGAATGGCACTCCATGCCACAAGACCACAAGAAGACCTCGTGGAACTAACCAACTTGCCAATTACAGGGAGGATGCCGCGACCGCCGAGGTCTCCCGCAGTCAGCTCTGGCAATGGGCCAAGCACGGCATCACCACCGCTGAGGGCAAGAAGGTGGACAAGGCCTATTCCCTCAAGCTTCTCAAGGAGTGTGCCGACGCACTGGCCGCCAACGCCCCAGCTGGCAACAAGTTTCACCTCGCGGCGCAGTACTTCGCCGGCGAGGTGACTGGCGAGGACTACGCCGACTTCCTGACAACGTAAGTCCTCCATCCTTCTTTATGTCCTCATACCCTGTCTATTCCGCTCAGGCTCCCCTCCTCGTGTTGTGAGGCTGTCCGGAGAAAAGAGAGGATGGCCCCCAATTCTTCCCACCTCCCCTTGGGTTACATAGATGCAACAAGCTGCTAACCACGATCAATAGGTTGCTGTACGACGAGATCACCCAGGTTGGGGCCACCAGAGCGCCATCGAAGCTGTAAGGAACGAGATGATGAAAAAAGATGTGGACACGGGCGGTATTTGAGCAGTGTTGGTTATTTTTTTTCTATGCATCTAGGCGCCTCCTTTTTTACACATAATGACGAGCTATATCAAATTGAGAAACAAGACAACCCAATACCAAGTCTTTAGTATCATTGTGGTCTCTCGATCCCGATGATGTCAAATTTAAGTGATCAGACTACCCTAGATATTTCAGAGAACATGAGTACCTCGAGTGGCTCTCGCTAGGCGTCGGACATCGGGCGGTTCGTTCCCCTCCCTGCATTAGCCAGCGAGCCTCGTGTCATTCAGCCACCACCACCAGTTCAGCCCAAGGTCTCAGCTGGCTAGACTCAACACGAGGGTATCATGTAATCCATCAAGCGGGTGATATAAGCTGAGAGCTCTTCTATTCTAAGCCGTACGTAAGACGGCATGTTGCCGGGCGCGTGTTTCTGCAGAGGAAACCCCACCCTTCATCCCACCCTCACAAAAGATGAAACGAAAGCCGACAGCCTTGCTCGAGAACGCAAGTAAGGCATCTCGTACCTCTCCTCCTGATCATCTTTATGGGTCCCCCAAGCACGAAAATACAAAACAACAGGCAGCCATGGGACGATCATCCAGTCACCCGTTCCCCGCCCCCCTCCCCCCGACCAGTCACCAGACGGGAAAGATCACGGCGGCCGGTCGGACTGATTCACTTTTTTTCAGCTGCTCACTTATTAGCTTTGTGTAACATGACAAGTCAACTCCACGCCCGGGGGGGCGCAGGCAGGGACGGGACAAGCATGAAGGCCTGAAGAAAAAAAAAGAGAAACAGAGCGTCATGATCCGTCATGCCGCATCGGCTGGCCACCCGAGAGAGGAAAAGTAAGGAAATAGATCGCTTGTTGTTTGTTTTTATTCGGTAACTGACTTGCAGAAACGGAGAGCAGTAGAGCCGCAGTCGCGCACCGGTCGAAATATACCGCAAAGGACCTAGAACGACTCAGCGCGCACACCAGCAATTCGACCATTCGGTTTGACCCGCCCGGAGCTGGACGCTATTGATTCAGACGATGCTCCCCTAAAATTTCCCCTCGTGTGTTCATACCGTTGCACTTTGCTTCTTTGGCTCATCGATCGGATCGACGGACGCCATTGGTGCCTTTCCCTTGGGTCAGTGGGAAAAATTGGTAGTGGCATGATTACCAGCATGAAGAAAAAAAAAAGTAATACCAAACTCCCCCCGATCCAGAAAAAGCAAAGCAGAGCCAGGCCACACCTCACGTTCTAGGCCTTTTGCTATGTGGACCGTGCAGCAACTCCTCCTATTTGGCCGCCCCCCAAAATCCCCTTCACCCATCTCCTTATTGGCAGTATACCCATCGGTACACAGCCGTCAAGGCGGCTTTGCCTTCCCAGGGGGAGAGGGGGTAGGATAGGATAGGGGAAAGAATATGGAAAAGCTTGTTCCTTGTAAGCAACCCACCCCCTCCTGGGGACACCGGCAGCGAAAACAGGGAGGGAAGGGTTTGCTGCATGCAAGTCTGACCATATGGTTGGGCCATCGGAGGACGGTCTGTTTCCCATAGATCTCTCAGTCGTCCAGCCCAGCCGGGGTTTTTGCCAGGGGGGGCGTAGCGCGAAAAAAGGGGTTTACAAGGTTGTTTTTGTTGGTTATCGAGACCCAAAGATACTCAAATCCTTCCCGAGGAAAAGGAGATGGACCCCAGCAGGAACCTCCGAACCAAAGGACTGAATCCTTCGGGATCTTGGGGCGAGAATGGAGGAGGGGCGCGCCCGAGGCGGGTGACTAACTGCCGGTACGATGCACACGCGCGGCCGGCGCCCAGCCCCGACTACCTGGTGATATGATAGCAAGGAGCTGGTTCGATCACGCCGCCGTTTGTTGGGACATTCTGACATATAGAATCGTCAAACACACTGCTCTCCCCGTATGCACCTTGGGGGACCCCACGTACGGAATGATCAGCCCTGGATGTAACGGGTGCGAGTCCAACACCCTCCGCGGTGGTCAGCTGGCAAGTGCGCGACGCCTGCTTCTCTGGCCCCTCTTCTCTCGTATGCATATCATAAGGCTGGCTAGTCGTGACCGACATGAGGCCACGGTGAGAGAAACGAGAAAAAAAAGAAAAAAAAAATCCAGGAAATGGGTCGACGAAGAGCTTACCGGCAACTGCCACCTGGAGACCGTGCGTGAATATCAGCCCACGAACAAAGGAGAAACCGTTGAGGGCTTGATACTAGCGATTCCCTGCCTCATAATCTCCATGGCGTCGCGTGGGCATAGCATGGAATTGTGAACCGCCTTGACCACGCCCTCGCAGCCAAGGTGAGAGACCCAAACGATCACTGGCTCCTACTGGCATGCACGGACATCCCGCAGCACGAGAAACTTGACGGAGATACCCTGTTGAGGGAGAGAGAGGGAGGGGGGCCTAGAGAAGAGACATGATAGCGTGGCCCGGAGCGTTGGGATCCAAACGCCCCCCCTTCTTTATCCGCCTCCTTCCCCTGCTTTCGGAACAATACCTCGAAGAAAGAAACATCGGTGGAGACGTGGATGAGATCTCCGACCTCAACATTACCCTCTCCGCTCGCCGGCTCACACCGTTGAAAGGAGCAAAACACATCGCGTGAAGGGGCACACCCTCCTCCTTGCGAATGATTTCCCCTCTTTTCCCTCAACACCGGAAGCTCCATCCGGTGCACATGATATTGACAAGACATGGTGCACTATCCGAGACACCTCTGGTTATTTTCGGTGTTCAAAAAAGAGGACTCGTCAATTAAAGGCAATAATGTATGGATATAATTCAAACAACGTACGACATTTCGGGTTGTCGTCGTCGGGGGTGTGACGGCTGAGCAGAGAGACTAAACACCATGCAGGCAAATGGACGAGAGACACTGGCAGTAGCCGAGACCTGCCTGTGCAGACAACCATCTCACAACCAATTCTTACCGTGCCGGTGACTGTCTCTCTCTCTTCCCCCTATCTTCTCGCTTTGTACTTGCTTTAGGATCCTCGGTTGTGGAAAGACATCGTTTCCAGACGGGGAATCCTGATCCGTAGAAGGGTATGCAAACTCTTTGCCCCCGTCTGGTTCCTGGACACAGGGGTTTGAGGAATCTGCTATGGATTGGGGTGAGATTGCGTCTCATTTCGCCCAGCCTCTGCGAGTGATGCAGATGGGATGACCAAAGCCTCCCATCATCTATGTAACGCTATCTCTTGCATTGCAGATGGCCACCACGCTCACACCCTTTCTTTTCCATCCTCTTTCTGCTGGTTCTCACCACCTAGCTTGCTATTGACAGGGTAGTCTATAACAGCCGGATCGGCGCAGGGGTGGCCCGATGCGACACTATGGGGCCATCCGAGCCATTCCATTAACCAGGCCCCAGTAGGTGGTAGGTGGCACTGTAGCAGCAGTTAGTGGCCTCATAGGTACGGTATTAGGTCCCTTGGGTTCCTGAATGTTGTTGTTTAATGTGAGTGGGAAAATGCTTGTTATTGATGACCCACTGGAGTCAAGGCTCTTTTCCACGTGTTTCCATGCCATGGGCATGGTCCTGTCTTTGCCCCGTAGGTGAATAGGCCTCGCAGCTCATGAAGGGACATTGGATGGGTGAATCCATCCTCACCAGCGCCACACGTGTTTCATGCCTCCGATAGGGAAATCCGTCGACGTTCGAACGCTGCCCAGGTGCGACATTGCATGGCAGGCAAACACTGGGATGAGGGGTGCATGCCTGGCGGATGCACCAGGGTATCAATGGAAGTTTGTGATGGATTCGACCCAGAGTCCAGATCGGATTGCTAAATCAGCACTTGGGGTCGCCCATTGAGCGTGAAGGGGGGTTGGGTGGATCATGCCGGGTGGAAGGGCAGCATTCGCTCTGAAAGGAATAAGAGCGGCCGCCAGGGCTGACCAAGGATTGAACACCATTCGTCGGTAACTAATCCATGTTGAACAACCCTGGGACAAGAGCGGGCGGTAAAAAGCCAATAGGAAAACCAATCGAATATTGTACCAGATAGGACACGGCACAGTGAGTGCGATCACTCATCATGCCCTACCTATCTGAAGACTTTCATATCGACCATCCCGACTCGAGCTGGGCAGGAAACGGTGTCGCTCGCGCAAGTTGTTTGCCAACAGGGTGGCCAAAATGCATGGAAAGCTGGACCATCGGTTCAAAGGGCCGGTCGTTGCACGTTCAGCTCCGTGACCCATGCCGCAGCGTTCCAGAATGGGCGAATATAGCCTTATCCTTGCCAGTTCCATTCAGCTCCCTGCGCAATAGGATCGCCTGTACGTCGACGTCAACCAAGACCTCTTCTTGGTCCGTAGCACAGCATTCAGGCTGAAGAGTGCCTGGGGAAATTGATACCACTACCACCACCGGCAGTGTGGAACGCTGCCTGCTTACCACTCCATATGATCGCTCGCAGTTGCGTGGCGCGATGCCAAGGGGCTCTATCCTTGTCTCCGATCTACCCCTTCATTTTCATTGTGCCCTAGGTTAAAGTGGCTCTACCTCCAGTCACAAGGTTCTGTATGACTGCCATACGCTTGGCCACTGTACATCACATCTGGCTTCTATGTATGCAAGCCGGGAGATAAACAGGTGTGGTAGTATTCTGGTTCGGCGCCTGCGGGTCACATGTACGGTGAGTTTGCATTTGATTGACCAATGTCAGACAGGCGAACTCTACCACAGTCAGATGCCTGGAAATGCGTTTGTGACGCAATTACTCTCTTCCCTCTCGGCAGGCTGGGGACGAGCTGAAGAACTGGTGTCTTCCACAAACCCAACTCAGAGCATATGGCCAAGGCCGATCCGTCGGTTGGCTCCCTCTCCGTCGGCCTCAGCTGCCACTAGCTGGCCCCTATCTTGGCATCCTCAACGGCTCCGTAATGGACCCGGCCAGTTCTGCACCTGTCCTGTCAGTCACCGCCTGTCAGGGGAAGAACTAAACAACCGT